CCGGCTTTTTCTTTCATATTTTTGGAGGATAAATACTCGCCATGGGCTTCAGCTCTCTGAAAGCAATGCCACTGCAGCAGAGCTGATTTATGCCAGCTGAATATTTGGCCTATTCATTTCCCTCCCCCTTTTTCCTGAATCCTTCCCTCTTTATTCTCCCTTTTGCACTTGTCTTTTTTATGCTGGTAACACCATTTGTCACCAGTATGAGCATTTGCCTGACACATTACTCAGTGCTGCTTCTCCCAGTCTTTCCTTTAGCGCTTTCCACCTTCAGGGAAGTAAGTGCCAGGTTCTTTAAAGCTCCACTGCAGCAGCGTGATTGAGGATGCTAGCAGCAAATGATTGCTCTTGGTCTGCAGAAGTTCACAGGATTGAGTTATAAAGGTTGAACTGAAGGATTGAGGCTGATTTATACAAGCGAGGAAATTTTTGTGCTTGCAAAACAGCGTTTCTGCTGTTCTTGCCTCTATGCTGGAAAGAATTTGCTGCAGTAAAGTTTCAGGTGTGTTGGGGGTTTTTGGTAGGGGGCAGAAGCTGTTTGCAATGCTGTGAACAAATGCTCTTGCTCTCTTAAATGGGCTCCTGATCTTGCTAAGTACAGCATCCACTGTCAGTGAGATCCATTAAAGGAGCCCCTCTATTCACAGAAAAGTCTGCAGTTTGTGTCCTGTGGGTAATTAAATTGATCCAAATTAAAACCTTACCTTAATTCCTTGTTCAATACTCAAATTAAATCAGATCTTTATTGATGACTGAATAAAACAGAAGTACAGGCACACACTCCCACACAAAGCCTTTGAAAAATCTCATTGCTTCAGTCTGCCCAGTTTCACCATGGATTAGAGATGGATAGATTTCATTTTTGTAAGAAAAAATAATTTGGACATCTCTCCAGAATGGCAAAAGAAGAAGAGAAGGGGAATCTTTCAAGGGGGTCTAATATTGGGGGATTATTGCTTTGTTCTGAGAAATGCAGAGTTTGGATGAATGTTTGGAGGGACAAGGTTTTGTGCCCCAGGTGGGCTGTCCCACACCTAGAGTGGGAACCGGATCCAAATGTGGGAGCTGCAAATCCTGTGAGCCTTGGTTTTTATTATGTAGCCCTGTTCCCTTTGGTACCAGCTGTGAAGGTGTTAGCTGGCCAGCTTGTTTCCTTTTTCCCTTCTCTCCCTCTATTCCCATCCATTCTTCTCCACCCCCTACATGCAGCTGGTTCTCCTGGCACTGCTCTTGGGGGGTCCAGTACCTTTTCTGATACCAGGGAAGGGGAAGGACACTGCTTAAGAGTTTATCAAAACTTAACTTGCACTCCGCTGGGTTCTGGTCATACGTAATATATAGACTAAAACTTGAAATCTGAGTGCACTGAACTTTGGACTCAGACAGATCTTCCTCTGGCTTTGTAGCTTGCATCTGCCACTGCTTTCAAATACTCAAAGCCCTTTGGTAGCCCAGAAACCAGGAACCTCTGACTCTCTTGGCTCTGACAGTTAACGCTTTTTTTGTAACCATTAACCACTTAATCTGAGTAGACAGACTAACTCACCCACCTCTCTAAGGTATTAAAGGCTTCACTGATGTTTGCACAGTATTTAAGTGTATCTTTCCAAAGCAGCTACTACTTTTGTGAGCCAAAGACGCATGGTGTTTTTCTGAAAAACACTGTAAGATTGCCAAGTGTTGTTATTATTTTGATAGTCTGAAGAAAACAACATTAAGATTTTATTTAGCGTCATCAGAAATAGTCACTTCCAGATTACAAACACTGCCTGCACCTTTCATAGGCTTACTGGGGGTCTGAGGGGACTTGCCAAGAAGCATCCTGCTGGGCTGTAATTATTGTGTTACTGGTATTTCCAGATGGGTTTGCTCAGTACCCTATTCATTGATATAAATCAGTGACATCTAGTTACTTCAAAAGTGTGGGTGCATTAATTTCAGTTTGGGACGAAAAATGCTTGTGTACAGCATGGTACACTTGTTAGATGAATGAAAACAGGAGAAAACAGGGAAACATCTTCGATGCAGAATCTCTGGGTGGTAGGCATAGATCAGCCAGAGCAAGTGGGAGACAGGGTTTGATTTGCTTTTGCAAACATATTTTGTGTATTTTGATACATTGGGACTACCATAGAGCTGACACGCGTCTCTGGACGAAGCTAGCAAAGGAGTGCTTGAGGGACCAGCCAGACCCTGCCCAGAGCCATTCAGACCTTGGGAAGGGGACAGTGTGAGCTCAGTTTAGCTTTGACCAGCACATCCCAGCTGGAGGTACGCATCCTGCCGACTTTTTGGGGTGGGCCTTGTGCGTGGGGACGTGCTTGTTTCTTTAAAGATTGGAGGAAGAAGAGGAGAAGCAAGTTGCAGTCTGGCTCTTCTGCCCTACATACCAGCCAGCTCTTGCCACCAGTACCACCCTGTCTGTGCTGTCTGTGCAAAGCTGCATTTCTCCCCCTTGCATCTTTGAGTCCCTCTCCTCTGGTTTCTAGCTTGCTAAAGACCTTCTGACCTCAGCAGGGTCCGAACCTCCAACTAATTTCCTTTCTGAATGTTTTTAGGGCTGCCAGGACAGGTTGGTCCTCCAGGCCCAGTCGGACCAACTGGTCTTCCAGGACCACCAGGGCCAAAAGGAGAGAAGGGACAACCTGGTGAGAGGGGCCCAGCAGGGCCACCAGGTAAGTCCTGGAGGAGGGCAGTGCTACCATGATAGGAGATATTTCACTTTATACAAATTATCTGTGACAACAGATCATAAAAGGCTGGACGCACAAGATGTTGAGCATTGAATCCATTCCAGTGAGTCCCCTGGGCACTGAAATCAGCCAGTAGCTCTCAGAGTAGGCAAACCACCTGCACGAGCAATGACAGTCCCTGGGATTTCCCGTGGAGCCAGAGAGAGCTTGTCCCAGAAAGCTGCAGAGCAGTATCATGTTTCCCCATCCTGCTCAGGAGCTGTAAAAAGCAGTCTCTGATCTGTCAGCCTTTGGAGAAGAGCGTTCTCTGTTTAACCCTCTCGCTGTGTGCCTGTTTTAACTCCCTTTTTTCTCCACCATTTGTGTCAAGCTGTCAGATGCCAGGATGTCAAACTAATGATGCTTTTGTATGTTAACGGAAAAGGTTATGAGGCCATTCTTTCAGAGTACACTCCATTCCTGAGCTAGGAGACTTCCTTCATCCCCAAAATGTTCCTAAATCTTTTGATGACGGCGATACTACACAAAAGGTGCCAGACCTCAGGCTCTGTACTTTCTGTGTCTAAAAGGCTGTGCCTTGTCAATCTGAGCTCAGGAAAGATTTGAAACTTGGAGCGTGCCTTAAATGTGAGAGTGGCCCTGAACACTTTTTGGCATTTTCTGGCAACCTGTCAATGGCTAAGTCTGGCCAAGGATGTGTCTGCCTTTTGGTTTCTCAGTTTGCAATGAGAGCCTTCCAGCCCCACAGGAGGCGGAACCGGTCTGCTGCTGGACTGACTGGGTTTCCGTTGTTCTTTCTGTGCTTTCCTGGCAGTAAGGTGACATAAAGGTGTACGTGGAGGGGAAGAGAAAGAGCGGTGCTTGATTTCATGCCTTGCTGCCTTTAGTTTCTTGCTCAGCCTCAGGGAGGGGGGAGATTTTACTCTTTCAGGAATTAAGCTTCGCAGCACCTTTGAGCCAAGTAAGTCTTATGTGCTTTGCGGAGGAAGATGCTAAAGGCAAGTAATGGAAAATTGGGAAGCTGTTCCTATTTCCCCCCACATCCCTAATTCCCACAATTACAGTTCAGGACAGAAATCCTTTGTCTTCTTACTGCCTTTTTACATGGTAGCATCATTAGCACATCTTCAAATGCACTAACACATCCTCTCCTGCCTTTGCACAGGGCTGTTAGGACCTCAAGGACCGAGAGGACTTCCAGGAGAAACCGGGATCCCAGGTCCCCCAGGTCCTCCAGGGCCACCAGCCACCCCAAGCCTCCCTCTTACCTTCCAACAAGGGGTTCTCTACTCACTCCAGCCCACAGCTGAAAAAGAAAGTAAGTTTCCTCCTTGGTTCCCATTTTTTTCTGGTACATCAGCAGAGTGGGCAGGCACGGAGCAGCTCAGCTCTTCCTCCCGCCTCCCTACCAGGCTCTGCCAGGGCCCTGCCTTCCCTGGGAGCAGCTAGACAATCTGCCTCCATTGCGTGGGTCTCTTGGAAGTTCCTGTTCAAGATGAAACATGTAAGACTTAGAAGCTAGAGGGGTTCTCTCTAAAATGAGGAACTAAGTCACTGCTCTTCTAAAACCATCAGTGAGAACAGGGCTTGGGGGATTTATGGTTGTTCCCTGTGCCAGGTTTTCTGGGTTCATCATAGCTTTGAGGAGGCAACCTGGTGTCCTTTACGCTTCCATCATGAGTAGCTGCTGTGAAGAGGGTCTTTAGTGAAATGACAGAGCTCAGATAGCATCACGAGGGACAAGTGGGTAGAGAAATATAGCAGTGTGGCCGATCAGGTGCTGGTGCAACGAAACTGCGCTGTTGAGAGACCTCTTGGTGCCACTGTTGCGGTGTTACAGTGCTCAGGGTTGCTCAGAAATGAGTAAGTACCAAAGGTTTGCAACTCTGAAATTACGTAACATAACAAGGACATCTGTTAAATGCGTCTCTTTTCCTGCCCCCGCAGATGAGTCTTCCACCTGCGTTTCTGGTGCATCAACATTATCCCACATCCACGCAAAACACAGAATTACAGACTTGAAAGCCCAGACCAAGACCGTGATTTATCCCTTCCCTATAACTGGAGGGTCAGGGTTTCTTTGAGCCTATGGTGATTTGAAAATATATTTATTTGATTTGTGCTGTGCATGGCAAGAAAAGGCTTTCTAGGAAAAGCACATCATGCACTTTTATCTGAGTGCTCTCAGATTTGGGCTTGATTCTTCCAGTCCAGTCTTGTGTAGCTGGTATCTAACAATGATAACGCAGAGCTCAGCTGTATCTCCACTTGGCTTGTAAACTCCTGGAGCCCCGGCTCTGTCGGGTCTCCCATCTCCACTCCCCCAGACTTCAGCTGTGCCTTTCCCCAGCTCTTCTGCTCACGTCCAGCTTCAAAGCTCAGTTGTATTAGTTAGAGCCAAGGATTAGTAAGTCTCCCTGTGTCTGACAGTTTTCTAGAGCTCTCCTTTCCCTTCCACCCACTGCGCTCTCCAGACTCCTTTTCCCAAAAGTGAACAGATGTATTTTTAATTTGGGAAGAATTTTAACAGCTCGATTTCATATTCAGTGACTTAGAGCGTATGGGCAGGATGAAATTAATTGTGGTTCAATACTAAGATTTTCACAAAATGTAGATTGAGCTACTGCGTTCACAAGCCTTATAACAAGAAAGTTTTGCATTACAGTCACCTCACTGCCTTACAGGATCACACCAAATGGAGCCACCTGCATTTAGCCTTTTATTCCAAAGAATCCTTTAGGATGGTTTGGGTACTGCTGCTGCCCCCTCCCTCCAACCACCCTTTAAATTAAACTCTTTCTTGCAAAGTAGTGGATAAATTAAAAAGTGTATAAAGGCATTAATTACATGGCCTTCCCAGCTGATGTGTGAGAAGGGTGAACTCTGCATTGTCCCAAAATGGGAAGCGGATAAATGAGTGAATAAATATCTGTATTATCTCTGCCAACACTGGGCAGCAACAGGCTCCCCCATGGACTTGAGGACCATGAGTAAATGGCGACTGTTACATCCCTGGGGCAGCCCTGTACTTCACCTCCATACCTGTGGTGGATTTCTTGGTTTGCAGAAGGAGTAGCCCGAAACTTTATGACAATTTTTCTCGTTTTAAAAATATTTCTTGATACAAGTCTCACTGCAAGTATAAGTTATCTATGTGGTCATGATAAAGTTACGGCAATATTAAGACCATTTTCTTGCAAAACTTACCATTTTGCTTTGTGTATTGGCTCATTTTGCCTACCACAGGTTGGTGGAAAGCTGATCCTCTACAACCAGTAAAACTTAGCCTTGTAAATTCTGGGTAGCTTTTTATAAAATTTATTTATTTTGAATGGAGCACATCTGAAAACTATAAACACAAGATTCCAGCTGCTGACAGCAGAGGGAAGCATATTCCTGGTAATGGGCATGTGCACCCACGGAGATGTGAGAAAGCTGTATCAGATTATTAGCAGTAGTACAGTGTTTGGTTCCGCCTGAACATGGTTAATGTATGTGCCTTTATTAATCGCAACAAGTTCCTGTTGGCAATGTTTATCAGCAGGCAGAAGCCAAAAATGGGGAGACAAATATTTTCTCACAGTTTCACTGTGCTGTGGTAAAGAAATTGGTCCCAGTTGTCTCCCTCCAGATCAGGTAGCAGAAAGAAATTAAGACAGGATTACTTCATTTCCATCCTGTCTCAACAAATCAAGCCTATAATGGGGGAATTTATCCCTTAGAAACATTAGACATAGGCCAGAAGCTAAACTGCCATACCCCACTGCTGAAGCTGCTGCTACGAGGATTGCTTGCTTTCTCTGCCACTTAAAAATGAGTGGATCAAGTATGTGGTCTAGAGTCAGCTCAGTCCTCTTTCTCATGCTAAAGCTAAGACAATTTTTAGGGAAAAGAGAAAAGAATGCAAGTTTCACTCTGTTGAGGGCTGTGTTTTCTTACATCTCAAAGATTTCAGTTGGCAAAGGACACATGAGATAACATTAGCCTATTTTGTGGGGTGGGGAGAGCAAGGGGAAACCAAGGCAGAGCAGGCTTGCCTGTGTGCCCAGCATGTCGTTGGTGAAAACGAGCACAGAACAGAGATTTGCAAAGTGACATCCCAGTGCCTGCTGCCATGTGTAGCCCTTCCTGAGGAAGAGAGAACAGAGCAGAGGAAGCGAAGGGGAAGGAGAGGAGGAAGATTTAGAAAACCATACCGATTGCTTTCAAAGCTGTGTATGCCTGTGCCTCTGAGATGCCTTGCCTTGCCACTCTGGCTGGGCAAGTTTCACTGCCTTGTTCAGGGCATTTCTGTGCTGCTTCAGGTTTCCCCTTTGCAGGATGTTTGTGCTGTCTTCCAGAGAACGTAGGTGCTCGTATCTGCCCAGGTCAGGCTGGTTGCGCTCTCCTCTTGGCTTGGCTAGGAGTTGGAAAGCTCCTGGAGCAAATTGTGTATGAAGGTCTTCTCAAATGAGGCAGACAGTTGTCTGCCTTCTGCTCTGGTATATCCAGAAGCACTGAATCCAGCCTGAGTCAGCGCAGGAGATGGCTGAGAAGGGAAGATTCCTACTACCGTTTGTTGCTGGAGCTATTTTGTGGCTGCTATAACAACCTTCAGCTGCAGTGAGCCCCAGAATGTCCCCCTGTTTATAAGGAGAAGGGAGTTTATGTGGGAATATGGAGAGAGTCCCTTAAAAAATGTGAGGGTTGTGTTTTAACACACTTCAGTCCCATTCATTCACAGTATGTTTTATTCAGAGCTCATCCTGGAAGGAAACCTTGATCTGAGTGAGTTTTGTCTGGCCAGGCAGCTGAGGAAGGAGCCACTCTAGATTTCCTGCAGTCCATACTCCTGTGCTGCAGAAGCCAAATCAGGAGCTACTGAGCTCAAGGGCTGCTAGGCAGAGCTCTCTTCTGTGTTACAATTATGGAATCACCTTTTGTAAATAACTTTGAGGCAAATGTCAGGATATGTGGATTTGTGGGAGTAACTCTGTCATCATAATAATGTACCATTTAGCTGGAATGTTTTGTAACCCAAATCTTTATCCCTGGCTTACCTCCAGCAGTAATTAAATCCTGGTTGTTTGCCGCCCATCCTTTCCCCCTCTCAGTGGATGTGCATTTGGTTTTGTTGACCACTTGTTCTTTAAAAACAAAAGGCTCTGCAATTGTTAATGCCTTCACTGCTGTTCGATGCTCATTTCCCAATTTCATCTTACTCCCAAGCCGTGATGGATTTTGACATGGTCAAATAAAACTCAAATTAATTGGATTACACACTTCACTTGGGTACCTTTCCTTCTGAACATGAAAACAGTCTCAATTGTTTAGTTTCAGGGCTGTGAAGAAGGGAAGATGGATGGGGTTAGAAACAATAGTCAAAGAAATACCTGTTTGCATTCAGGCTTTAGGCGCGAAATTTGGTTCTCGGAGGGATCTGGGTTAGATCTTGTGCTGTTCTGCTGCCAGGAAGGCATTGCAGAGAGATACTGTCATCCTTGGCAGTTAAAGAGATTTCACAGTTTTCCCTAGGAACTGCTTTCAGTTCTAGTTTTCAGACAACTAGCCTGAAAGTCCTCTCTATCATTGCCAACACTCCAGAAGTTGAAAGGGCTTCGTAATGTGTCTGCTAACATTTCTGGAGATTTCACCTTATGTCCTTTGGGCTGGACTCTGCAGAGTAAACAAACACCCTTTTGATCTTCCTGGTGTCACTTGATATTTACATCAATATAGCAGTGAGACATTTGCAGTCTTTTACACCTGCGAAGGGTTCCCCTGAATTCTACTGTGATGAGTTAAAGGCATGGGTGAAAGGAAACTTGAGTAAGTTTGAGGTCATGGGCAGGAGGAGATGGACATTATTGCTGCATGGTGGCCTCCAGCTATGGAAAATGTGGGCTTTTCAGAGGGTTTACTATCCCAATGACCAGGAGCCAACATCTTCATCCAGGTTAAATGCAACAGGAAATATGCAGTTGGTCCTATAGCACTGGTCAGGACAGTGGATTTGCAAATCTTAGCAGCATCAGGACATGGGGGTTCCCTTCCTTGCTTTGTGACCTTGGTGTCTTGGTCAGTCGTGGAATTTTTTCCCCTAGGTTTCCACAACTGTCAAAGAGTGTTGTGGGATGCTCAGATGAAAGATTCTGCCATACAGGTACCCCCCAGACTACTAGTATGCTACATTACAGGTCTATAGGGAAAAGGGTTGTTGAATATGGTTTTGGAATTGCAAAAAATAGTAAGGGTTGCCTTTTTCTATGTAGTTCTGTTTTTTCTATTCAGTCACCAGCTGAAGTGGTAAGCCTATTGGTTCAAGTATGAGGGAAGATGGGGGCAGCTACAGGCTGCTGATTTTTATTCCTAACAGGAGAGGACTGAGAAAGATGTGCGAAAGCACAAAATTCCTCCAATTCCTGCTGATACCTTTCCCCTCCCTGCTCCACTCCCATTTCCATCCGTTTCCCAGAACTCAGTGGACCTGCCCAAGCTGGCCAGCTGGACACCTAAAATAATCCTAAATGGCAAGTGAGTTTCCTGAGTATGTGGAGGGGGCAGAGCACGCCCTCTCCCTGGGCTTTCCTGCATCCTCAGACCTCAGAATATCTCCCACCCCCACCTTGATGGCAGGGTGAGCTTGCTGGGTTGGTGGGGATATGCTAGACTGCCAGACTGACTCGGCAGTTCACTGATGCCAGACAGGAGGGAGCTCCAGATCCATGTTTGATTTCTCAGGTAGCCAGAAGCCAGATGTGTTCTGGAGATGGCAAATTTTGGGTCAGTTATTGCTGTACAGTGCAGAGCTACTCTTAATCTGCTTTGGCATTCAAAGGTAGAATTATATAGGTGCGCAGGAACACCAATTTTCTGACAGAAAAGACAACTTTTCCGGGGTTATCAGAGGTGGGATGAGCAGCTCTGCAGGTCTGGGGGATGCAGCCTGTGCCCTTAGAGAGCAAAGGGCAATTGCTCCAAGAGCCCAAAATTTGCATCCTGAAGCACTGCCTGCCCTTGGCCAGCAATGGGCGCCAAAGGATTTTGGAGAGAAGTCCTGCCTGCTGGGACTGGGCAGCTCTTGCTGCAGGGACACTAACTAACTGCTCTGCTCTTTAACACAGATGGAGAACCCCAGCTGGCCTCCACCGTCATAGACACCATCATGGCTGGCCTGCCAGGACCACGGGGAGCCCCGGGCCCTGTTGGGCCACCAGGTAATAAGCTCATTTGAGCTGCAAACTGTAACGATGGGGAAGGTGAGCAAAAGAAATTTCTGATGGAGACTGGAGTGGTCCGTGGGATGCCTGCAGGGAAAGCAAGTGGTCCTCATTGGAAGGGCAGTAGAGCAGTGGGTCTGGGGGTGGGAAAGGTGGCCAGAAGTAACCAGGTTTCTTATCTGTTGATAGTGGCAGATTGTTTTACCTTTGGCAGGACACATCTTGAGAAGGGAATAATTAAAGGCTGTCTTTAAGAATGGGTTGTCCAGTGAATTCCTTTATGAGAGCAGAGTTGTTCTCACTGCTGCTGCGATCCTGTCCTGTCGCTGTAGAGCTCCACTGAGCAGGATCTGGCCAGCTGCTCTGTGATGTGTATGCAGACTTTGCAGACTTTGGAGCTGGTTTGAGCTATTCTAGATTTTCACCAGTATAACCGAAATCAGAACTTGGGATGAAAATTCAGTGGCAAGTCGTCTTTTTCTCTGTGCTGATGGGCGGCTTAAATGATAGTATTCCTGCAAACATCAGCACTTCCCTGTATGATGCATATTTAGGAGTGAACTCCCATTAGTTGCAGAAAAGGCTTTTCCTTTCATTATGAGGGCCTTTCATTTATCCTTCAATTCCTTTATTCTTTGACTTAAGCATTTGTATGGTGCATTAATGATTGAGGCTGATTCAGCTGTACTTTGTGTATAATGTCCACATTGTTTCATCTCAAGGGTTGTGACAACTAAAGCAGAGAGGGGTATTGCTAAGTTCAGACTAAGCAAATATCCTGTCTCCCATTTGCAGGTATAATTTAACAGCTACTGTTGAGATATAATTATTTTTCCAAAAGGAATGGATCTGTTAAGTGACTGTGTAAAACAAGCTGACCTGTTTAGACAGTGTTTAACTTGTCCTGGAAGCAGGCTCTTCCGCGGTACAGACTTTAAAAGAATTTATTGTCACTGGAGTGAGCAAAGAACAAGAGAGAGCTTTGCTTTGCCACAGTCAGCCTCTCACACCGGCTATGTCCAAACCCCATCTTCTTCACGTTCATCATCAACTTTCTGATAACACTAGAGACACAGACCGTAGCAGGCTTGTGGACTTCCCTTTCCACTTACAGGACTCTGTTTCAGAAACAGCAACTGTAGTATCTTGCTCTGATGTAGCTGTTTCATGGATCTAGTTTAAGGTTTCTCAAAAGTTGTCATTTTAAACAATGGAAATGCAGCATGACTGACATCCTCCCTGCCTATTTTCACCTTTTTTTCCTCCCAGAGCTCTAACATCTTCCCTAGGGCGTAGGGATATATTATATCAGGGTGTGGGTATCCAGCAATGCAGTGCGTGATGAAGCGCTTATGCTGTAGTCCTGTGATCGATGAACGGCTCTTACCCATTGAGAGACTAAGCAGAACAATGAAAGGAAGTGCATGCATTGGGAATTTAGGGTCCTTCTTTCTAAGTCTCCTAAAAATTGTCTCAAATGATGATTCGCACCAGGGCCACCAGGCGCATCAGGACCCAAAGGGCCACCAGGACCTATCGGAGTCCCCGGATCACAAGTAAGGCGCTTTAGTGCTTTGGGGCTGAGGGGCAGTTGGGGACTAGATGTGAAACATCTTCTCATTGCACAAAGAGAGAGAGTAGTTTATAAGTCTTAGATCTGATGTTTTGTTCCCCATGAAATTCTGTGATTTTAATACCTTTTTTTCATTCTGAATTGTGTTGAGAGGTTGAAATGGTTGCTCTTTCCAGATTTTCCCTTAATCATAACAACACATCTCGCTGTTGCTGTGTCAAAACATTTCACTGTGGCCTGAGTTGATGCAAAGGATTTGACATGGCCTTTACTAACACAGTGATAGAAAAATACCGCGTTTCCTGTGGAACACATAAAAAGAACAAAAATGCATCAATGGGAATTCACGAATTCACCAAAGTGAATTTGTTAAGCCTAGCTTTTGAGAAATAGCACTTTCTATTCAAGAAAAATATCACAAATTCCCATCAGTTTGATTATTTATCGATACAAAAATTGTGGAGGGGGGGAGGTAATAATGGAGTGTGATAAACTCACTTAAAAGAATTTATGATAGGAGAAGGGCAAAGTACTCACATGGGTGGAAAAAGCCAGTTAAATGGAAAGAAGTGAAGTCATGATGAACAGTGAACTGCCAAACTACTCAAAATTGTGGTTGGCTGGTACAAAGGGACTCCAGTTTTGGGAAGAGTATTACTTAATGTGGAGGTAAACCAGTAACATCAAATATTTCAAAGGAATGTAACGTGACTAAAGAGATAAAAGTGACTGAAGAGCACAGAGAGAGAGAAACGTTAAGTAATTTAGAGGGATGTAACTTAGATCCTGATAAGAAGAGGTTTGGAATTGCTGGAGAGTAGAAAAAGGAGATTTTTACTATGTGTTTATTAATCAGTTTGAAGAAGCAATGGACAGCAGGTTAGTGAAAGTTTGCCAGTGTAGCAGAATCATTTCAATTAGTGAATGCTCTGGAGAACGATGAGAAACTCCAGATAGATATGAACACAGTGGGAAATTTGGCAGCAAAATGACAGATGCAGTTTAACGTGATTAAATATAAGGTAATTCACAATTCATAAATAGGTTCTGTAGTAGAGTCTGGCTTTTTCACATGCAGCACGCATTATAAATATTTTTTTCTTTTTACAACAGATTTGTGGAATTCAGTGTTCTTGAGTGTCCCCATGTAATCATGCACTGAAAGTCACTGTTGAGAGCTGTCAAGAGCGAAGGATGCTTGTGGACACTTAAGCTTTATTCATGCTGCATGTTTGACACGGGGCCAAGTCTGGCTGGTGCCCTACCTCGTTTGGCAGCCCTAGTTAACCTCCTAAATCAGGCCTGAGTTTCTGAATCTTTTGTGGGCCCAGGGGAGACGTAGCTAAGCTGGAGGCCAGGTCACTGTGCAGCTTGGTGGCGAGCCGGTAGGGCTGACTGCAGGCAAGGAGCAACATGTTAATGGTGAGCATTGCTGCCTCCCAGCTGAAACTAGGAGAGTGCTCCTCCTTTAGACCCTTAAAGCGCTAATGCCCAATCTTGTTGGGCCACTTAACTAGACGCTGAGGCTCCTCACAGCTATGCCTCGAAAGCCCACTCCTCTGGACACTGAGAGGTGGGGGTTTCTGGAGGCTGTTATTAAGCAGGTTGGCTTAAATCACCAGCGGTCTGGAGTGGAGCAGTAGTCTGATTTGCTGCAGTCACCAAGGTGATATGCAAGTCACTTGAGGTGGAAAAAAGCATCTTGCATACGGTCATGGGGAGCTGACATGCTGAATATAAACAAACAATATTGTTCTCTCCCTGTCTGGTTTATAGCTGTGGCTTCGCTGGGTGGATAAGTTAAGAATTTGGATCGATTTCTGCAAAGCAGTTCAATTAGTAGAAATCTGGAGACTATGCCCTTCTTATCCGTTGGTGACTGCTTTATAGATTTATTCAACCCAGGGAGCAAAATTATTAGTAGAGATTGGGCTTAATTTGAAAATTGTTTATTAGGGTGAGTGAATAGCTTCAAAATAATTTCCACTGCACAATCCAATTAATTTTCAGGTATGTATGCTTACTCATGCCACCCACTGAGGCAATTATGAAGAGGGGGAAAGTAATGGGGATTTTTAAGCTAACCATACTATCTGTGTATTAATTTCTTCTTGGTAACTGAGAACAAGAACTATCCTGTCATACTGACCCCTTAAAAAATGTCACATCAGTAGCCTGCAGTGCATTAAAAGACCCAAACAGAGGGATATGCAGAAACTACAGGTCTCAGGATATCTGCAGTCAGAGCTTCCGTTGTTGTTGCTTGAGGGTAAAAGAGAATCCAGCCCAATTGCTTAATGGGTGTATGAGGTTTTCAGGATCTGAGGATCACTGGGAAAGGTATTCACTACACCTACACAAAGGATGCACAGTAGAAATTAATTCCTTCTTGTTCTGCATCTCTTCTAGGGCTTACCGGGCTCTCCAGGACAACCCGGGCCAAAAGGCTCCAAAGGAGACCGAGGAGAGAGAGTAAGGTTTTACATACACAGAGAGATTGCCAGCAACATCTGGGGTGATGCCTCAGAAATTATATACAACCTCGGTCTTTCAAATTCTGTGGGACTAAAGCCATGAACAATTTTAAATGTAGAGTTTCTAGGTCTTCTGCAAGAACCAAGATGATGGTTTACTGTACAGGTAAAGAGTTGAATTGCTTGTGAAGTCTGATGTTCCCTAAAGAGATTCAGGTAGCAAATACATAGTATATAAAGGCTTGTGGAGACCAGCTTTCTTCTGCCAACCAAAGCTCTTTAGCGTTGAGTATTTGGGTGGTCTAGCTGAACTCTTCCTTCTGTGGCAATAAGGCAGTAAAAGCTCATCAGACTTTTCCTGAACCAAAGCCATTCCCCAGGTCAAATGATGTTCTTAATATATTCAGAATATTGAGATGGTGTTTTTAATATGTTTGTGTGCTATACCTCAGTCCTTGATGGGTTGACAAGTGCTAATAACTAAACATAGATAGAAGGGCTGTTTGAATGTTATTTACAAACTGGTGAAGTTTAGGAAATACCAGAGAAAAATCTAACAAGGATATAAATGTGTCAGATTCCCAATCCACCATTCAAGCACCGGGAAGGGTTTCAAAGTGGCATTTGGGCCTTCAACTCCTTCTGTTCAGCTTACTCTCCAAAAGGCCATGGTTTCTGAAATCTCCTCTGAGAGACACTAGGAGTGCAAAATCATTTGAGAATGTAGTACGTGGTGGAGGATCATTCAGCAATTAGATCTGCAAAATGTAGAAGTGGGCACAGATGGACTGTGGACCATCACTAAGACCCTAGTGTGGAGCAGAGTCAAAGAAAGGAAGAAAGATAAGGAGAAAAATATTGGTTGGTACCTCTAAAATGATGGACGTGGACACAGACTTGTGCCACAGCTGTAGGAAACAAGTTCCCTTTTCTTCCAAGTGCCACTTTTACCATCACATGGATGGAGGTGAATGTGGAGGTCACCACCTGTAAATGGGTGGCTGTAGATGACGTGCTTCCCCCATACCGACAGCATCTCCTCTTCTTCATTTCTGCTCACTCTTCCAATCCAAAAGACAGAGGGATGTCTGAAAGAACTAAGACAGACAAATGCAAATAGGTTAACTCCAATTTGATGACTTCCCAAATTCATGAGAATGACCAGCAACAGACTTAAACTATGTTCCTCTGTCCAGACAGTGTGCAAGGAGAGCAAGTCCAGGTGGCTTGTTTCATTCCCTCCTGTGGCACCTCACGTCAAGGAGCAGCAGATATCTGAGGATGGAGCACACATGCTTTTAAAAAGCTCCGTTTTATTTTAGTATCTGCACATTGTTTTGGGTACTTGGTCCCTGTTCTTACGTAAGAAATCACTTGCAGCTCCCTGAAAGACAGAGACCATTTTAAGTGACTGTTAGTAATTTTTTAATAACAGTTCCCTTGTGCAGATCAGCCACTTTGGGCATGTATTGACTTTACTAATAGATTACAGACTGATGTATTTCTGGGGCTAGAATTTAAAATTCTGATAGAGAGCAAAACCTTAACTGATGAGATTTACAGCCCATCGGCATTAAATGTTAATTTTCAGTTTAAAAAAAAAAAAGGCATGGTATATGGCGAAGTGTCAAGTTTCCATCCAGGAAAGTGATAAGAGCTCTTCCTCAATGATTCATTTAACATTTGCTTTAGTTTGTGGTAAGACTACACTTATTTTGAAACAAAAGCTTTGTTGCATTGTGTCCATTCAGTACAGACAAATCCTTTAGACTTTGATTTTGTTTCCCTCCTTGTTAGATATTCAGAATTGTAACTCTCCTTCTAGGTTTGGGACAAATGAGATTTTCAAATATCAGAATGTCTTGCTAAATAGAAAAAATAAATTCCGTTTCCTGTCCTTCCTCTGTTAGCGTGGAAAGCGAAGCCGATCGCTTTTCCTGGCAGAATTTCTGTAGGATGTTCTGTGTGCTTTTTGTCTTTTGTGAGTGTGGATTTGAATGCTGGTTTTGACAACTACATGCTGCAATTTTGGGTTTGGTGGATACAAATTAGAGCTAGCTTTACACAGAGCAGAGGAGCTGTGCAGCTGCAAAGAAGAGCAGAGGAGGGTTTACAGTATCTATTGAGAGTCGAGAAAATGTTATTATACATTCTTCCTGCTTAATCTCAGAGAGAACAGATGTAGAAGAGACCTGAAGCAGTCTGGGCGCATCCCCTGGATGGCACATCTATATGTGTGTGCCGCTCACGATCAGCCTCTGTTCATCTTATTCTTAAAACAGTGCCAGTGAGGGATACACCGCATCATCTCCAGGCAGACTTCAGAGGTACAGCTAGTGAGGGCCTGGGATAAAAGATATTTCTAACATCCAGCCTAAATATCCTTTGATCCCCTTTAAACTGATAACATCCTTTCCTATTCCCCCTGGACACAGAGAACAGTCCGTTTATGTATTTTGAGTGCGTTGTTATGTCTCCTCTCCGTGATTTGCCGCTTGCCTGTGCTTTTTCACAGGCTTTACTCCCTCCAGTGCAGAATCCAAGTATTTCCCTTTGAAGATGCTCAGAGCACCTGACAAATTGGGCCTTCCTCCCAGCGCTCTTCGTGTTGATACGGGCCTTTGTCTAGTGCTGGCTAGCTGCTCACCGAGCACTGCGCAGCTCTCTGTAGTAATGTTTTTTAGATGCCCAAGGCCCATTGTTTTTTTTATAGAAAGCAGCAGTTTGATGGACACAGTAACAAAGCAGCTCTCCCTTTCTGGCAAATACTACAAAAAGCTGCCGCCAGCTAGGTAGTTTTTTGGGGAAAAAAGGATGGGTTTGTTTCTGTGTATGTCTAGGGGAGAAGAGCCAGGTTAAATAACTGGCTGTTTCATCAATGGATTTCTAAAGATTCTTTTAAATTTTGCTGCTTCTTCCCCAGCTCCTGCTTTCTCATGAAATAATCTATAATTGTTCTTCTGGTCAGGGATTCTGCCCTGCCCTAGCGTGCTCCGGGGTGGGAAACCAGCGCTGCAGAGGAAAACAGGGAGAAAAGAGATGCTCAGTTTGATGGCATTTCATTCCGCCCCAAACCAACACGTACCATTTCAAAATGTTTCTGTTTAAAAAACAACAACAATAAAAAAACCAACCCAAAAAACCCCACTGCAAACAATGTGAAAATTAGCACAGCAGGAAAAAGAAACAAACCAACCAAAATATTGTACCTGTGTTTTGATCAGTAGCTGTTGGGGTTAACGCGGGGATGTGTGTGTGGAGCAGGAGGCAGATTAAATCAGTGCTCTGTGGGAGTCCTGGGCTCTGTTTGCTGTCTGGGGCAGCATCAGCCCATCAGTTCTACTAGATAGAAGAATGCAATATCTTTGTAAGAAACAAATCTCCAGCCAAATTCCTTCCTGGTATAACGTAACTGACTGCTGTAAAGTTCAAAAAATTGCTAATCGTCTTACTGAGAGGGTACTGAGCTGAGTAGCTCTGTATCGAACCAAACTTCTCCAAAGTGTGATGGGATTTGGAGCTGATACTTGACAGAAAACCATGACCCCCTTTTGCTGTCTCTAAGTGATAATGTCAGGGGAAAGGAATTTTTTTCATATTATCCCAAGTGTAAGGTTTTTCATTAAGCCATCTTAATTCCACTAGTAAAAATTACACTATGTTCTTGTCAAATGGAAAAATATCTCCTAATGACACTTACTTTATTTCCAACAGGGGCAAGCAGGTCTGACTGGAGAGAGGGGCATTAAGGGATTTCCTGTAAGTGATGTACTTGCGGGTGTGTGCAAGACTCAGATGGGTTTGGTGCCTGCCTGGCACAGTAAATACTGCCTAGCTGGGCTGCAGCTGGTTCAACCAGCTCTCTCAGATGCAATGCTGAGGTCAACTGTCTCCAGCTTAGACGTTTGTTCATAGGCAACCTCACCTTAACATACTCCTCTGCAAATGAAACATAGTCTTCCTACATGTTAAGCATAGTGCTGAAATGCTGCGATCAGGAAGGTGTCACACCAACAGAGGAGATGTGCTTTGCTTGCAGATCCCCTCTAGCCAAACCTTGGCAGACAGAAGCCCTCTCCCTGCCCCGTGAGGTTCCTGGCACTACCAGAGCTCAAAGTGGGCACTGTTAAACAACCCGAAGTACATCAGCTGCTCTCAGCTCCCTCTTGCACCTTGGTCTGCCAAGCTGAGCTGGAAACCCTGTAATGAGATTAAGAGATGTCTCCAAATGATTTCTTGGCAATACCTGAATGGATGCACACAGGAGACGTCTGCACTGGCACATATGGCTAGGGTGCAAACAAACTGGTGGAGATGAAGGCTGGCTGAAAGTGAGCTAGTGGAGCAAGTTGGTTTTTTTCTGGCTGGCAGCATCCAGAGAGGTCCTAGGTCCTCTGGGAGGTTTCTCTTTTCTCTTCTTTAATTCCACCTCATCATTTTGTACAATTCACACAACCTTCTCTTCAGTCCTTCCTCCCATATCCACCCCTGCTTTGCAAGTATCTCAGGGATGTCCAGCAAGTTTGAGGAGCCCAGGCATTTCCACTCTATTTTATTCACCAGCTTGTTAGCCCTTTCCCTTGTTTTATGTTTAGCTTGTGGTTTAATCTCTCCATGTCATCTGTTCTTTGAGAAATGCATAACTTCCTGGTTGGGGGGAACATTAGACCAATGTTCACAGCACATACATAGGGATCTTTGTTCAAGAAAAGCTTAATGAGCATCTTCAGAGGCAGAAAATGATGTGACTAATTAGTGAAAGCAGAATGGAGGATTTTATGTTCTAAATCAAAGATGAACACGTGCATGTTTGGGGAAGGGGAACAGTATTTTTATCTCGGTGTGAGATAAAAGCATCGCTCGTTGAGATCTTCATGAGATGTGTATAGCCTTGCTGTGGGCCCAGGCCATGACAGGCAGCCCCTCCTGCAGCTTGGCCACTCCTGGCCAAGTTAATCAGAGTTAGAAGTGGTGATGACCTCCTGGGAAGCTGGTGGGAGCCAGGGCAGAGCTCATGAGAGCACTTTGGCCCTTGGCGTGAAATGCCAGAGTCAGTTTGTTTTCTGCTGGTGAAACGCTTCTGGCTTTAATTTGTTCCTTTGGCGGGAAGGGATGCAAGTGATCCTGGACAGGGTCCTCAGTCACATGAAAACAAATTTCTGTTTCTTGTCTGTTTTAGGGTGAACCAGGCAAGAAGGGTGAGGAAGGTGACAAAGGTGCTGATGTAAGCATGTATTTCTACAGTTGTTTTACTTTCATTTTTGTCTCTTTACTGTGCTTCAGCCATATTCCCTTTGGGAGGGTGCTTTGTGGAGGGCAAGGGTCTCGTCCACAGTTAAAAGTGCAGAGCAAGAGATGATTCGAACCTTGGGTTTAATCTTAATACATGCTAGAAATCCTGGTCTTTGAGGTTTCCTTGGCCACGTTGTCAGCTGCCCTTCTCACCATGCTCTCTGAACACCTCCTCTGTCCTCAGTGGTTGTTCTGCCACACAGAGCTGCTACAAGGTAGGGAATTACTCCCCCACTGTCCCTCCCACAAGCTCCGGGACAGACTCCCAGAAGAGATCAAGCAGAGAGAGAGTTGGAGTTCTCACGTCTCTGCTCTCCCACCCTAAAATACTTCCCAACATCTATCAGTCCCTTCAGGCCAATATCTAAGGCAATGGGGGCAACAAACTACAGCTTGAGTGTACGTGAAAGTATGTGGACAGGCTTCAGGCAGCATGTGGCTCGGCTAGGAGCTCTGTGAGAGGCAGTGTGAAGCCCATCAGGAGGGGCTTGCATGCCACTGTTCCAGTTTATAAGGGAGCAACAAGATGGTGCTAGCTACATGTCCCGGTTTCCTGGTGTACCAACAAAGAGAAAGCCCACGTAACTCACTGGTGTTCAGAGTAAATGTCAGATGAGAGCAAAACCTGTTCTCCAGGTAGCTCAGCATAGCTGTTAACACAAGCTTCACGTTATAAAGGTTTGACAGGAATATACACCCTGGGTTCGGCCCGCTGCAGAAGCTGGAACCAAACTGAAAGGCTTGGCTTTGGGTCAGAGGCTCTGCAAACATGGGGTATAACTGAGGAGTTTTTCTTTAAATAGGGATTTCTCCTGCATTCCTGCTTAACCCTTGCAGCTTATCTCCCCTTTTACATCTTTTCTTTTTTAAACATTCACACTGCATAGTTTGGCATTATGGAGGCAACATTATGAACAAGAAGCCTATTCTGCAACATATACCAATGTTAGTTTTCTTTTCCTTCTTGCAGGGGGAAGGTGTCCAACAACTTCGAGAAGCTCTGAAGATTTTAGCTGAGAGGGTATTAATTCTTGAGCACATGATAGGAATTCATGGTAAGCGTCGCTAATGTTTTCTGTTCTGGACGACTGGGGGCTCTGTTGAGGCAGCTGCTTGATAGTTAAACACGCCCCCAGTCTCCTAAACTCTCTGTCCTAGTATCTATTTAAGCCGGGTTTTTAAAACTAGGTACCCAACATGACTTAAAGGATGCTTAGAACTGTTGAGGATGTAGAGCTTCCACCAACTGCACTAGTTACTCTGGCTTTACAGTAGCAGGTGAAATGACCCCTACAATAATTTTTGTTACAGTTCAGAAAGCCAAGTCACGAGCAGCAGCTCAAGCCATGTGGCACAGATCATCTACCAGCTTCCCAGGGAGCTGCTTGTTCAAGTCTTTAGGCCAGATCATTTAATCCTGTTAACAGTGTCTTCCAAGTGACTTTAACACCACTGAGGCCCTTGCCTTGTGTAGCACTATATTTTACAGAGAAAGCCCGAACAGCGCTACGCATTACCCTGAAAACCAGTAATCCCTGAACGTCTTCTGATTATAACTGACATAAAACCTATTTTCACAATCAGATTTAAAGACAGCCTCATGTGTTCTTTGTTCAGATAGATTTTAAGTTTCCTGTTGAGGCTGTTTGCCATCACTGGTACAGTGTGTGGCATCATCCCTTAATGAGTGTTTTCTTCCCTTAACCAGAGTATGGGCTTGTGCAATCGTCACAGATCAGACTTCTCCCTTTGGGGCACTTGAGGATCAATTCTCTCACAGCTGCCAAAAGTTGCTGTGCCAATTTCTCCCCTTTCAGAAACACAGTAGAGGCAAAATGTTGTTTAGAGCTACTATCCCAGCCTGTGAGAAGCAAGCCTGTTCCTTGGCACCGAGATGAGCGTTTTTTAACCAAGTCCCATAGCACTTTTCTTTCTTATTTTCTCCTTGACACGTGGCACCTCATTCCTGGCCTCACTTGAAAAGCAAGCTGCTCATACCTTCCTTCAGATTGACATCCGCTTTTATTATGAAGTGGCCTTTAGATATTGATTTAGCCTATGAAAATGCTAAACAGCTAAAATGTCCAGCAGTTCCTAAGCAAGTGACTTAAAGTGCATCTATTACTGTGCAGTAAGGCAGCATGCTTTGAGAGCCCACAAGCTCCTTCTGGAGCCAGCACAGTGCTAAAATGAAAATGCTGCTGGGCACTTCAAAGCCGAAACAGTGTCAGCGCATGGTGCTCCGTTACATGGCTGAACTGGCTTGGGTCTCAGCACTGCTCTTCATTGTTCCATGGACGTGTCTTTTAGAGGCCCAAAGTACTATTTCCAGAAGCAATAGGCAGCAACAGCTTAAGCTTTTCGGGAAATCATGAATCACAAACCCATGATTTAACCACAGTCACCCTGACCTTACCTCTGCGTTAATCCTAGTTTGCTTCATATTTTCATTGGATTTTATACACCAAGGGCAGGAAGAGATGTTTTTATGCCTCTTTGCTTTGAGATGGTGGAGGTGCGGGGAAGATGCCCCCTAGGCAGCAATCCATGCCCAGCCGATATGTTCTCTGGGCAAGAGGGGAAGGGGAACCCAGTCCATAAGCACAGTACAGTGGATTTACAGGACCCAGGGCCTGGCCCTCCATTATGTTTTACATTGTACCTTCATTTATACTAGTAAAAAGCAAAATGTCAGCTCTTCAGGAAGCTTGTATAGACACTGGGACTTGGACTGGGGGATTCACGCAACTCTGCTCCTGCAGAACTGCCTAGTTTATCTCTTTTATACATCGTCTGTTGGCAATGCAGCAGCAACAAGGCATGCGCTGCTGTTATTTTGAAACGGTCATTTTGGCAAACGGTTTTTACTGACATAAATGTATTTTCTGTTATTGCTTGAGATGGAGGCAAGTTATTTATACGCATGTGTACTTCTATACCAGTGTAACTGCATCAGCAAAAATGGATGGGTTTTAATGGTACAGTGTAGTTAAGGCCATATTTAAACACGTATATTGTATGACTTTATATAAATAGTTCCTTTTTTATCCAATAACAGTATAGATAATTATATTTTTACTCTCTGCTTTTGACATAGTTCTATTCTTTAACTTAAGACATATTTTAGGCCCTACAAAAATACTGTTTAGAAAGTAAAGCATTTTTTTCCTTGTGCAATTATGTTCATCCCTTCATGTGTATATGGTTAAAAAAAAAACAAACAGAAAAAGACATATAATAACAAAACAGAACATCCCTGAGCACAGACCTCCCTGCACTGAAAGGCACCACACGGGTTTAAATCACTCGGCACCAACTATCTGGTCATGTTCCCACTGTAGGTGTTAAGGATTTTACCACAGGTTCCTGGGCTCAGCCCAGCTTTAAAGACCCACGCAGAAATGCCAATCGCATGCTCTCATTTTCCCAAAAAACTTCACAGTCAGCGTGGTTTCCAAAACCACAGCCACCCAAGCAACAAGGCAAAACATACCAGCAAACAAACCTATTCTCTGCAATGGGAGGGCAGTTTGAGATTATCTGGCCTAGCAAACTGCAGAGAGCAGCCCAGCAGGACACACGAAAGCCCAAATTGTTTGGCAGTGTTTACTGCCAGCAAACACAGCACAAATCCTCCGGCAGCCAAATGCTCACTTGAAACAGAAATGCTGCCTTGTGGGATCAAACCAAGGCTGGGTGTCTGGCTGGTGAGGTTGGGCTCTTGGCAGGGAAACAAGCAAACGTCCATCTCTGAAGGCAAAAGGAAGAAGAAACTGGGGCATTAAAAATGATGGGGCAGCACCGGGTTATCAGCATCTGTTGCTGACTGCTGGGAAATAGCAGAGTGGCCGTAGTCAAATGTATATTTAGCTTTGTAGGGCAGGACGCTGTAGGGAGAGGAGGTGTGTTACCATGAGGCATGCTGGGAGGGTGGACAGCTAATATTTATTCCCAGCTTTATTGCTAATTTGGCTGTAGCCTAGGGTGGATCAATCCTTTCGTTCAATCTTTTCAGTGCCTCAAAACGTCCTCCTTTACAAGGAGTGAAATGGTACTTAAACCCTCAGGAGCATCACTTCCCAGTGACCACTTGGCCTCATCCTTCAATAACAGGAGTCTGTGGGCAATGCTGAGTAGCAGGTATAGCCCAAGAAAAATTATAATCAATACAAGAACAGTGCTTTATAAATGGAATTGCAAATGAGAACAGGACCTGCTAGGCCACATGCGGTAAGAGTACTTACCCCAAAGAGTTTAGACAGAGCCGAGGGGAAAGACCTAATGTAGAAGTAGTGTGATGGCAGCAAACATGTAGCTCTGCAATTGCTCGCTGGATGGAAAGACAACAGGAGGGACGACACTTCTTCTGGAAGAGGTATCATTCAGAAGGGCCCATTTACTCTTTCCTTAGCCTCCCCTTTTAAATAGCGCTCTCCCGTGACTTTCTCTCCTTACAGACTCTTTATCTTCCATTGAGCCAGGCTCTGGACAAGATGGGATCCCGGGCTCCCCTCTGCGAACCAGCATCAAGATCAAACGTGGAGGACCCCAGCAGCCGCAGGCCTACCAGATCCTCTCTTCACTGCTGGATGACAGTGAAGCCAAAAGGAGAAGCAATCGGATGAAGTAGGAGCATCTGTGTGTTCTCCGTGCCTGTTCACCAGTTAAAGATACAGTATCCCAGTGCTTAATTGCAGAGTGCAAATGAAGTGGGTAGGAGGCTGCAGTGTTGCAACTGGGTTTCCTTACCTGGCCAACACTACGTCCTTATTGCAGGGAATGTCTTATCCATAGCTCAGAGAGGGTCTTATGAACATTTTTCTTGATTTTGTTGTTTTGCCTTTGGAATACCAGATGGCAGGTATCCTCAGAAGCTGTCTACAGAAATGACACCTCCTGACTGTGTCTCAAGAGTTTAATTCTCCCCTTGTTTCCTCACTGCCCTTGAAAGTTACTCAGTTAAAGCACTGCTTAACTGGCTGAGACAATCAATCCCATCTAGACTCAAAGCCAAGCCTTAGCCTTGTCCATTGGTATAGTTGGTGGCATCTGCTTTTATTTCATGTGGTGGTGTCATGCTGACTTCCAGGTGAAGATACCACTTCCATAGGCCGTTAAAGCATGATCTGCAAGGATTTCTTTTAAGCAAAGAACAAATTGGAAAATTCAAAGAACATTTAAAGCTGTTACTCTGAAAATTCAGGTTACTCTTTGGACTTTAGCATCAAAATCTTGGCTTTTCATGTTGCTAATTGTATGTGAGTGGCATTATTTCTATTCATGGCTGGCTGAGCAAGGACTTTTGATGCAAATGTTCATGGCAACATTGACTTCCTATCTATCTTCAGTGAGATTAGACTGTTTCTGTGAAAATACAGAGCAGTTGATATGAAATATGATGGAATTGTGCAAGAGTTTTCCCATATTGTGTTCAGCTTGTGCATACATCCAGAGGTAATTAAGTAGTAGCAATAACTATTCACAGAAAAGGATATTTTGCAATGGTTTCTTAATCCTACATCAATAAGGAAAAAATGTTTTCACAGTGTTTCGTTTTTATCTTCTGAGTAAATCCTTGCCATTTGAATCCGGGAGGTGTAGTAGCAAACCACAGCCTAAGGAATTACAAGTCTTGTCACGAGCTTATCTTGCATTGGGAGTTAAATACAAAGTCATTTTAATTTTTGCAATAACTTGGGGGAAGTCCCAGCGTCCAGGGTTATGAAGTTGAACCTGCCCTTCAGTGACAAATGAATCGCTACACCTGCTGTGCAAACCAAATCTGACAAGTTGATGTCATTCATGTAGACAGTGATTTTTGTTAGAAAGGGTGAGACAATCAACAGAACCAATGGTACCATTTTTTAATTCTTTTTTAATCCCCCCCCCCCCCCCCTCAGTTTTCAAATTCACACCGAGGACAAAAGTGAGCAAATTGAGTTTGTTTGTGTCATTTTATGGCATAAGTCAGGTAAATCGGTCACATTCTATCTGGTTCCTAGTGTAAGATACAGCTGTCTGAAAAAGGCAAACTGTACTGCTACAATATTTCTGTCAACAGCTGTTGCAAAGACCAACAACTGTATGGTTCACGTATTCAGCAACCCTTGCCACCCAAAGTGATCTTCCTAAGGCAAAACCAGAAGCATGTGGTACACTGGAAATGAGGCTTAAAATGAAGGAGCTCCTGCCAGCCCAACATCAGCCACACATTAAAGTAACTTTCCATATACATTGTAAACATGGTAGACCTATAGAGACATCAGAATGTCTAAATCTTTCCACTGAAGAGCATTATATTTTCAGAAATGAACAGGCTACAGGCTACTTCAGGATGACTGAATTCACTGTATGTCTTCATGTGGCCCTGTTCTTTAGAAATCCAACCGTCCCAAAACAGGTGAAATGGTCCTAAGCTGATGCAGAGCAAGCACCAGAAACTTGTCCTCATACAGAAGCTTTTTACTGCTGTACAGCTAAATAATAAACAGCCTTGGTTTAAGCTGGCTTGGAGGCTGCAGTAAATGCATTGACTTGCCCTGCTTTTGAATCCTCGCGCTGCTTGGCTACTGCCAGTGGTGGAGCTTGTGCAGCAGTCAACCCACGTAGTTCAGGTTGTGCTTCCGTATGCTCAAGTTTTCCTTTGGACGCTTCAAAGAAACAAGGCCAAAGCGTTACAAAAGTTTGGGGAGTTGAAGGCAAGGTACGATCGGGTGCTCTCTTTCCCTAAGACTCCAACATTTGAAGTGAATGCAGGGTTTTGCCAAGAGCTGATGCTTCGGGCTCCAGCATTCCTTTGCCTGCCTGTACTCTGAATTACAGCTGGAGGGTGATATAGTCAGAAGACAAGAAAACAAGTAAAACTGCCCAAGTCAAGCAGGTTACTGACCTCAAGCAGTTGTCCTGTATTCATAATCCTTTTGGGAGAATGAAATAAAGTCTCAAAAGTTCCAAATCTAGCACTAACTCTAAATCCAGTGCTAACTCTAATGACAGCATGTATATAAATGATGCTGAATTAAATCAGTGTCTTAAAGAAGGCTGGCAACCAGCTCTTAACCTAAAACCAGTCACAAATACAAACAGCTCAGCTTTCCAACAGTGAGCGAATGACTGAAGTGCTGTACAGCAGCCCATGCCCCTCCGTTCACTACTGTGAGGGCAGTAGCTCTGCTGGGGAACAGCTAAGCATGGTGCAGCCACTGACACATTCTTGGCATAATCTTTCCATTTAAGAATTAAATGCGAAAAAAAACCCCCAAAACCTGTTTCCCTATTTACAGGCTGATTACTGTGTAGGAATTGAGAAGTACTTGATTACCTCTTTGTTGAATCAGGACCATCTTGGTCTTGATCACATGGACATTACAAGACATAGCTGGTGCCGTCTGGGAGAGAACGCCTTTATGCCTACCAACAGGTGGTGGAAAATCAGGCCCTGAAGACTGAGGGAAAAAACCCAGTTCAGTCTAAACGTGTACACTGGGCAGGTTGGTGCTAGCTGTAGTCGCTTGCCGCATTAAGAAAGTGTCCTCATAGCAGTTTCAGGAACTAAACTAAACCAAAGCAATCTTTAAAAAAGGGAAACAGCAAAATTTGGTTTCACTGGTCCTGTAGTTACAGGGTTGACTTTGGGGAAGAGGGCGTACAATGAGGCCGTTTTCACTTCATTTTGGAGCCTTCACGCTGAATTGAAAGAGAAATTTTTCTTCCTCCAAGTTTGTCTTCCTGAATTCAGAGCTATTGCAGTAGCTTGATGAGTGCTCTCGTCAAGTCATTCATATTGACTAGGATTTTGGATTTTAAATTATTTGAAACAAATTACTGGCAAGATGAAAGGAAATTTCATGGAAGTTGTTTGCAATGCATCCTGCCGAGTCAATTGTCAAAAGACTGGTTAGGTTTAGGTTGCAACCATTATAATTACTGACTTTTCCAGATTTCTGTATGAGCTATGTAATTTTTTTCTCCCCACACTTCTTGCTTTATTTAGCTACATCTCTCTCATGCGGTACTGTATCTTTAATGTGGGTGACAGTAGGATTGTACCAAATGGACTTTCTCTCTCAGCTGGGGTTTCATTCCGCTCTACTTACAAAAGGGTTGGACCACACTGTTGCGCAGTCCCAGTTTAATTATGTTTTAAAGGTGAACACAGCCTCACATGCTGACATTAATGATATTCATGACTAAGCAAACCACTCCAACCACGTTTTCCATCTTAGGCAGGATACTAAGGTTCATTTTAGCCAGGGCATATAATGCATCTTGCCATGTCTATGTAACTTAGAGAGTGGATTTATTTTGAATGCGTGCTCATTTAGAAATATATTTTAATTGAAATGTTTAGTGCTTTATCTTACACGCATACCGTGCAATACCATAGTGTGTTCTTTTCCTTTTTTTTTTCCTAAGACTTTTTTGAAATTCTTAATGTTTCTTTGAGCTCCAATGTGTTTTTGACTTGGATCAGTTCTGGTAGTAGCAACGCATTTTCCTTGCCTTGAGCTAACCAGAAGCAGCAGCAGCACATTGCACAACCAAAAATCTTTGCAATTCATGCACCCTCATGTTCACCAGCAATCTGGTACTCCTGGGAGGCGGAGAACGCTTCTCTCCAGAGTATCTAATTTGCACTTACTGTAAAGAATTGATAGCAACCCAGGGAAATAGGAATAAACTAGAGAGAAGAGCTCTCACCTGCTCCCACCAAACTCCACAGTAATTTTGCCATCAACTTTCAAAGGATCAGGCCAGAAAAATCAGATCCAGATCTTCAGCTAGCACGGACTGGTGCTGCTTTCAGTGGAGCAGAGCACGTGGCTCACAAGCGGCTTTCGGAGAGTTTGGCTCTGGGACTGGGGTTCACTCCCAGTCTCTGCAATGAACTATTTTAATGCAGGAACCTGACCACTGTGACAAAGGCTTCTAAAAGACAATCAGCTTCTGGAATTACTTCTTGATACAATTTATTGGAAATCCATTCTCCTCCACGTTTACAGCTTCTGTCTTACTCGAGATTACATTCCATTCTGGTGTTTGGTAGTATAGGAGTTTAAACTACTCGCAGTTTCTGTGATTGCGTTGAAACCAAGCAATTCAAAGGTGCTATAATTGTTCACAAAGCACATTCCCATCCGTAGAAGGAAACGTTAACTTTTTCACTAGTTATTTTACACAGTATTTTTTTATTTATATCGGTGTGTTTCGTATGTGTGCAAATGGTCCCGGCTTCTCTCATTGTAATAAGCTTTACAACCATTTGGTGTTTTATAGAGCAGCCATATGCAGTATCTTGCAATCGTGTAATTTCTTAACTTGGAGCAAGAATAAATCTCATCTGACATGATGAACTCATTTATGGCAGGCTCTAATGTTTGTTGTAAACACGACCTGTTTGTTCCACCTCTTGCATGGTTACTTATCTGTTTTCATATTGCTATGTTATTGTTCAAAATATCTATTTCTCTTTATTTGCTATGGGTTTTGTTACTGTATATGGAATGTTTTGTATTCAGCATTTTCTTACAGAGCAGAGTGGGAACAGTATTCAAGAACCCACAAATACCAAAGACCTTTCATGTAATGCACTGAGAAATAAACATACTGTAAATGAATATGATGTCAGGT